ATATTAGTTTTATCAGCGTTTATGTGCAAACAGCTATCAATACGATGAATATAATAATTGCTAAAAACTTTTCAGCTGTTATTATTATTATTTTTCCTAATTTTTTTTTTTTATTTTTATTTCAGCTTAAAATAACAGATTGTGCTAAATTTGTACTTCTACTATTTGAATAAACAAAACTATTGATTACAAAATTAATAATTTTGTTTTAATTAAATATTATTGATGAGGGAAAAAAGAGAAGGTTTTTTGTTGCACAACAATTAGAAATAAGCAAAGGAAAAAGGAAATTGACACTGCTGTTCACTGTTTGAATAAACCAATTTTTTTTTTTTTTTTTGACGCTATTCAGTGGTGTGTGCTTTCAAAGTTAAAAAAAAAAAGACAAACTTAATTTCTCTCCTTGTTTGGTATTTTTCAAATTTTTGCATTAATAATTTTTTGATGTTTATTTATTCACTTTTTACAAGTTCTAAACAAAACCAATACACTTAAATAGGCACAACTGTTTGGTTAATTTTATTGTGTCTGATTTAGACAATTAGTGTACAGAATTTGATCTATCGCTTTCAAAAAGTTTATTCTCAACCAAAAAAAAAAAAAAAAACTTTCAGTAAATTTTGTAGTAATTTTCAACAACTTTATTCTGTCAAACTGCAACAGCCTTAAAAAGTCTTGGCTAATTACAACTGCTAAAAAACTTCCACTTGATATTGCGATAAAAAAAATTGTATGTATGTGAAAAACTAACTATAGCATTTTTACCATTAATTTATTTGTAAAAACAAATTTAACTGAGCTTTTGTTGGATGTCATCACAAAAGATACTAAGACAGTTTAACTTAGTGGAAACCGTTGGCTATCTGTAGTATAAAATTCAACCGGATATACAGTTAAAATTTCTTTCAACATTGAAGATTAAGTGAAAAAATTGCAGCAACAACTGAAGACGGTTTTCATCATTGGCAATTTGATAAATACAGCTTAAGAAATCGTTGCTAAAGTTTATTGTACTTCTGTATAAACAGATCGCCTTCTATCACTTTTCACTAAAGCTGAACAATTCGTTGAAAAAGAAACTATTAGTTTACTGTTTTGTATAGAAGCAACAAGACAAAACTGTTTGATAAAATTGACCAACATTCGACAGCAGTTGTTCAACAAAGAAAACGTGTTACGTCAGAAAAAAAAAAAGAAGAAACATTTTTCTTGATTATATTTAACAATAAAATTAATGTTTCAACTTTAAGCTTTACAAACACATTTAATTCAGCAAAAAAAAAAAAAAA